TAGTGCTCTGTGTGAATATTTCACAGCCTTCTTGACTGGCTGTTGGAGCAGAGCCCATGGGAAATGCTGGCCGTGGTTCTGATTTGCGTGGCAACAGCTGCTGCTAATAATACATCAGACAGCTGAGTGGAGGCTGCTATGGATGAGGAGGCCGGATTACATTTCTCTGTACAGTCCAGTACCTGGCTTCTTGATGGAGGGGGATCCCCTTCCTAAGGATGTCCCAGGCAGGGTTTCACTGTGTCCTCAAGGACCTGTGGGACAAACACCAGTGAGTCAGTGAGCATTTATTGAGTGCCTGCTGGGTGCCCTTGGCTGTGGGCAGCAATTTCAGGGGGCGTGGACCCGGGTGGGTCCGAGTGGTTGGAGCCGCTGTTCCAGGCTGGCCTGAGTCACCCTGCTTCTAGGTGGAAAAGGATACTTACTCTTTGCCAAGGCTGGAGCTGTCCCATTGGAAGGTTCAACCAGTCACTGAGAAGCAGAGCCAGCCCAGCTGAGGCCCTGCTGCCACCAGCCGATTCCTGGGCCAGGGCGCTGTCCCCGCAGGAATTGTCCATGCAGCATGTCACTCAGGGCTGAGGCCAAATTGCAGCTCTTTCCCCTTCCTTCTCCCCTCCTGTGACCACCCCAAGCCCTGAAGCATCTTCATTCAGGAAACATGATGGGTTGCCTCCCATATGCGCCCTGACTGGGTAGCAAACCTGAAACCTTTTTGGTACATAGGATGATGCTCCAATCAACTGAGCAACGTAGCCTGAGTTGTGAGAATTTTTTATATATTCTAGGTACAAGTCCCTGATCAGATATACGTTTTGCAAGTATTCTCTCCTATGCTGTGGGTTGTCTTTTCACTTTCTTAATAGTGTTCATTGAAATACAAACGTTTTTAATTTTGGCCACGACTAATTTATTGTTGTTTTTTTCCTTTTGCTACTTTTGTGTTGGGTATCATATCTAAGAATCCATTGCCAACTGAACTGCAAGGTCACAATGATTTACTCCTATGTTTTCTTTTAAGACTTTTTATAATGTTAGCTCTTAAATTTCACTTCATTTTTGCATATGGTATATGTGGCTATCCAGTTTTCCCAGCAGTTTTACAATTTATTGAAAAGGCCCCATCGAACAGCCTTGACACCCTTGTTGAAGATTGACTGCCCTAACTATATGGGTTTATTTCTGGACTCTAAATTCTATTCCATTGATCTCCATGTCTATTCTTGTGTCAGTATCACACGGTCTTGATTAACTTTGCTTTGTAGTAATCTTTGAAATTGGGAAGTGTGGGTGCTCCAACTTTGTCCTTTTTTAGCAATCGTTGGATGTCCTAGGCCCAGCGAGTTGCCGTACCAGTTTCAGGATCAGCTTTTCACTTTCACGGTCCCAGCTGGGATTGTGGTAGAGATGGCATTGACTCTGTAGGTCATTTGGACAGTACACCTGCCTTAATCATACTGACTCTTCTAATGGTGATCACGGCATTTACTTAGAACCTGCTTAATTTTTCTCGTCAATGTTCTGTACTTTTCAGAGTGTGACTTTTACACTTCTTTTGTTAAATTTACACCTATGTGTTTTATTCTCTTCGATGCTATCGCAATTGTAATTAGATTGTTCATTAACAGTGTATAGGAATACAGTTGATTATTGTATGATGCAACCTTGCTCAACTCATTTATATTAGTCCTAAACGTTGTTTTTTTTTTTTTTTTTTTTTTTTAGTGAATTCCTTAGGATTTTTCTGTATCCAAGATCATGTTATCTGTAAATAGAAATAGTTTTGTAACAAAGCGGGTCTGGCTGCCTGCCACTATGAAAGCCAGTACTTGGGAGACAGGTGCTTATGTAAAGGAAAGTGGTTTATCTTCAGGTGTAGGCCACCTGGAAGATGGGGGCTCACGTCTCTAAGCCCATGTCCACCTCCCCGTGGAGGCAGGGCGAGGGCAGCAGAACAAAGAGATGAAGGAAGGCAGTTGAAAAGTTCTCTAAGTGCAGACCAGCACAGTCCACTGTGATGAGACAAGTGATGGTCTGGTGTGCGTCATCCTGGTTTAGTCACCTGGCTTCACGTCATCATGACTCCACCGTTGAAGGTCGGCAAATCTGGAGCTGGGATGCCTGAGGTCAAAATCTGTATCTTTTGCAGTTAGTTCCTAGGATTGTTATGCAAACATGCTGCTCATCTACAAGCTACATATTAGTTGGAGTCAGCACTTAATACAAACAAGTCAAAGGAATGGTGGGGTGGGTTACAATTCCTTGTTGCAATTTTCCGTTGTTACGGTTTCACCTTTTCCTTTCCAATTTGGGATGCTTTTCATACAGTTTTCTTGCCTAATTGCTCTGGTTAGACCATCCGGTGCAATGTTAAATAAAAGTGGGGTGAGTGGCTAACCTTGTCTTGTTCCTTATTTTATGGACATAGTAATCAGTCTTTCATTATTAAGTATGATACTAGCTGTGGGGTTGTTTTGTAGGTGTACTTTACCATGTTGAGGAATTTCCCTTCTATTCCTAGTTTGTTGAATGTTCTTTTTTTTAATCAAGAAAGGTTTTGGATTTTGTCGAATGTTTTCTCCATGTCTATTGGGATGATAATGTGACTTTTATTTTTATTCTACTCATGTGGTATATTGCCTTCATTGACTTTTGGATGTTAAACCAACCTTGCAATTTTGGATGTGGTATGTAAATCCCACCTGGTCATGATGTATAATTGTTTTTTTATATGTTGCTGGATTCCATTTGCTAGTATTTTGTTGAGAATTTTTGCATCTATATTCATACGCTATATTGGTTTGTGGGTTTCTTTTCTTGTGATGGTTTAGGTGTCAGGGTCAACGAGCATCATAGAATAAGTAGGGAGGTGTTCTCTCTTCTATTTCGGGAAATGTTTGTGAGGAGTTAGTATTAACTCTTCTTTAAATGGTAGAATTCACAGCTGAAAGCTTCAGGACCTGCGCTTTTCTTTGTGGGGAAATTTTTTATTACTAACTCAATCTCCTTTTTTATTGTGCATCTTTTTAGATTTTCTATTTCTTTCTGAGTCAGTTTTGGTAGTTTTGTATATTGCTGAGGATTGTCCAGTTCATTTAGGTTATCTAATTTACTGACACATAGTTATTCATAGTATTTGTATTCTAACCAATTTCCTGTGGATTGACATTTAAATCGTTTCTATTTTTTACTGTTACAGACAATGCTGCAAAGAACATTTTATTGTATCTATCTTTGAGTACAGGTGTAACTGTGTTTACAGCCTAGATTCCTAGAAATGGAATTGCTGGGTCAGAGGTCTGTGCATATGAAATGTTGATGTTTTTGCCCCTTGTCATCTTTCTAGCCTTATTGATTTATGTAAGTTCTTTATGCCTAGTAACCTTTGTCTCTTGTAGATGAGTTAGTAGGAACGGACATAGCCAGTGGGAAGGATACATTTGGGAGCTGGGTGTGTGGTGGCTGCTTCTGGTCAAGGATGCTTGACGTGGGTGCCCCAAGCTTGTTGTCAGTTCAGTACATTCACTTGTAGGGGTTCCAGACCCTGGAACCTGAACTGCTGGTGGATCAGAGACTCTTTATCTCTGATGGGTCAGGTTCAGCCTGGGAGGGCTCATGAGGAGCCTGCAGCAGGGCCAGGCCTTGCCACAGGGGCCGCCCCTCGGAAGTTCTCCTCTGAGGATTCTGAGGGTGGTGGGGGCTCTAGGTCGCTCTGGCCATTGGTACCCGCAGACGAAGGCGTTTGGATGCTCTACCTCTGCCTGAAGAAGTGACAAGGATGTACTTGGTCTTCCTTATCGCTGCTTTCTATCCTTTCCTCTTTATTTGGGGACTGTCTATTCTGGGCACACATTCACTCACAGCTTATCAGGGCCCAGATGTGGGCAGTGAAAATGTGGCTGTTTTCACGGAAGTGGAAGTGGGGAAACGTTGGAAGGAGCCCTGTGTGTGGCTTGTCAGGGTGGAGCTTTTAGCCCCTTGCCCCTTCCTTCCACTTCCTTTTCCTCCATTTTTATCTTACCTGGAGTTTATAAGGGTGGCACCAAAGTAGGTTGAAGATTTGAATTTATGTAGTTTGAGATTTTTAAAATAACCCATCCAGGCCCTGGGAGGCTGTGGCTCAGTGGCTTCTGGCTTGGCTTCATGAGCTTGGCTTCACGAGCTCTCGGTGCGGGATGGGGGTGGGCAGAGATGGCGTGTCCAGGGCTCCCGCCCCCTCCTCTGCCCTGGATGGAGTGCCATTGCTTTCATTCTATCTATCTATCTGCCTGCCTATCTGTCTATTATCTATCAGCTATCTTTCTGTCTATCTATCTATCTATCTATCTATCATCTGTCTCTATCGTCTGTCTATCCATCCATCCATCCCCCACCCAGGGACAAGCTTCCAGTGATTTCAGGGAGAGGAGGGGGAGAGAGAAACAGTGATGTGAGAGAGAAACGTGGACTAGCTGCCTCCCGCACGCATCCCAACCAGGGGCCGAACACGCAACCCTTCAGTGCACAAAATGACGCTCCAAGCAACTGAGCCCTGTGGCCAGGGCTCCTTGTTTTTACACATTGGAGCTCTTAGTGAGCTTTTGTGTAAGGGGATGTGGGGCTGTGTTGGCAAAGCAGTTGGGAAACCACCTGTGTGGGCACCTTGGCCCCACTGTTGGGTTGAAAAGACCCCAAACATGAATCCTGCTGCCAGCTGGCTCCCAGAACTGACAGGCGTTCGGGAACCCTGGATTTTCAGAGGTCTCACAGGCCCCTCTCTTGTGACGGAGACCCAGTGGCTGCTCTGCCCAGCCCTGTGTGTTTTGTTTTTTCTTTTGTCGTGTGGGCTGCTCTGGCCCCCCAGCTCTGCAGAGGCAAAATCAAATGATCTTCATTCTTGATCCAAATGCGTTTTGTCTCCGGGGAAGCCCCGGGCTAAGTAAGCTTTCAGATGGTCCGCAAGGCGATTTTTCAGCAGAGCTGCTGGCTGACGCCCCGTCTTTTCTGTCCTTTGTGTCTTTCAGTCCGCGGAGTTCTTCGAAATGCTGGAGAAAATGCAGGTGAGCATCCCCAACGTGCGGAAGCTGACCCCCGGGGTCGGTGGGGCACAACCCAGGCAGAACGGGGCGGGGGGCCGTGGAGGGAGGGCCTGAGGAGAAAGCTCACAGCCCCAATGGCCCCGCCAGCCCGAGGCCATGTGCAGGCTGAGTGGCACAGGGGACCCTGGGACGGCTCCCATCTGAAGAACAGGGAGAAGATACAAAACAGAACCCCCAGCGGAGCAGACGGATGCCGCCCACCCCGCGGATGTGGGGAGGGTTTGAGCGGGGCTCCTAGAATGCGCTGGAAGGAAAGCCTGAAAAAAAGCACCTCCGTAGGGGACCCGCCTTGCGTCTGGGACGCAGAGCGCAGGCCGAGCAAGGCAGACCTGAGTTCCACGTCTGCATCTAACACCAGCTTGCCAAGTTCCTTCCCCTTTCTAAGCCTCTCGCTTCTGTTTTTTGTCGACTCACAGCACTGTCCTCCCCTCCCTCTGACACCCAGTGTGCGGCCGTTTGTCCCCACCCCACGGAACAGCCCTGCGACACCCGCTGGGCGTCCTACCGTTCACCTCGAGTCTGCCACCGCCTACCTGGCGTTAGTGTCCGGCCCCCCAGGGCGAGGGCTCTGCTCACAGACGGCCCCCACTTCAGATGCCCAGCGCAAGTCCAGGCTGTCCCCTGTGCCTCCGACCCACCGGCTATAAATCGGAGGTTCCCACGCCCCTCTTCTCTGGTTCAATGAATTTGCTCCAGTGGCTCACAGAACTCAGGGAAACAGTTTACTTACTAGATTACTGGTTTATTATAAAAGGATACAACTCAGGAACAGCCAGACGGGAGAGCTGCAGAGGGCAGGTGCGTGGGGGGCTCGGAGCCTCCCTGCCCTCTGAGTGTGCCGCTCCCCCCAGGTCTCCACGTGCTTGCCCACCCCAGAAGCTCTCCGTGCCCCCTCCCTTTGGGTTTTATGGAGTCTCCCTTACTTACTGATCTCAGCCTCCGGCTTCTCTCCCCTCCCGGAGGTTGGGGGTGGATAGGACTGAAAGTTCCACCCCTTGTAACTGGTTGGTTCCTCTGAACCAGCTCCCACCCTTAGGCAAGTCCCCAAAGTCGCCTCATTCACAGAAACCCATTAACACAAACTCATGAATGACACTCCTTTCTCCTTTATGGTGCTGGAGCTGTTGCAGGAACCAAGGACAAAGGCCAACTATTACAATAAAAATGCGCCCAAATGCTCTCAGCTTAGGGAATTCCAAGGGCTCTAGGAGGCCTGGGCCAGGAACGGGATGAAGACCAAAACATGTATTTCTTATAATAAGTCCCAATATCGAGCTTATATCAATAAATAAGAATAAAAACGCCCACTCGTTGCTGAGATGAAGTGAGATGATAACAGATGTAGACACTTGGCAGACACTGCACAGGAATGAGCGTTTAGTGTGGATTTGGGGGCCGTTGTAATTACCCATCACCAAGGGGTCAGGGCTCACAGGTAAGACCTGACGAGGCCCTAGGGAGTGGGGGGAGGGCCAGGAGCTTTCACTGGTACAGGCAGGAGTGGGAAGGACGTGCTGATAATAGCACATATATTTTAAGGACTTGTCTGGGGTCAGAGATGGACAGGTGTTACCACATTTCTTCTTGACAAGGCTCCCGGGAAGTAGGTACATTATTATTATCCTCCTCCTCCTCCCTGTTTCACAGGTGAGAAAACTGAGGCATGGAGATGTTAAATAAAACACTCCAGGGCTCATGGCTAGTAAGCAGCTTTGGAGCCAGAAGGCTTCGTCATTACATCATGCTTTTTACCCAAATTAGATGGCCCAGGCTCAGGAAGGGAAGGTTCAATAGGAATGGCCTGGAAGCTCCCGGAGGAGAGGGGGTAGGGTGCCCGCTGCCGCACTGAGATGCAGGTGGAGCTCCTGAGGGGTTGCTGCTGTGAGTGCGTGAGGTCCTCCCCGGAAAGCCAGCCTCCCCGAGGACGGGGCAGGGGAGGGACTGTTTGAGGGGAAAACATTATTAGTGGCAGTGTCATTATCATGAGCAAGTTATTAAGACCCTCTTCTGTGCCCAGCAGAGTGTGGACTACAAACTAACTGTACGTGCATTTATTGGCATTTGGGGAACTTAAAACCAGGTTGCGGGGACAAGGGTGGCATGGGCCTTGACAGCAAGTGACCAGAAACTGTGTATAATGAAGTGCTCAGTCACCCTGAGCAAAGCTGGGGTTTTCGCCCCGAGCCCATGGACCGCGGCCCCCTGGGAGGCCGGCAGGAGTTTCGCTGCTCACCCAGCCTTCTCTCCGGTTTCTCCCAGTGCCACCCTCCCTCACCGCCCCTCCCCCAGAGGAGCGCCCTGCTGCTCTGTTTGAGCATGTAGCTCAGCCCTGCTTAACCGGCCTGCGTTCTTCTGCTGTTTTGAGGCCGCTGGGCTTGACTCCTTAACTGGATTGGGAGCTGCTCCCTTCAGGGCAGGCGTGCGATGTTTTGCTCCCTCTGGGTCTTCGCGGCAGCTGCCAGCAGGGGCGGCCTGGCCATTCCATGGCATCTGAGACTGCTGGGAGTTCAATCAGGCTTCCCAGGGTTCAGGTCCCCACTCTGTGCCCACGGAGCCCAGCCTCTGAGGGGCCCACAGTTCCCAGCTCCCCTGTGTGTGGGAGACTCATATGTGGGAACCGGCAGAGACAGAGCTGGGGGTGCAGCCCTATTCCTTCCTTGCGTGTGGACGCCGTCTGTCCTCACGCTGCCGTGGTGCAGACTGGGGCTCAGCAGCCAGGTGCCCAGGGTGCTCTGCGAGTTGGGAGGAGTAGAAGCTGAGGTCCGGGCCTCCTGACCTTAGCCCTGGAGTGTAGGAATTTGAAGAAGGGCACAGTTTCAGTGCAGCAACAGGGGCGAAGTGCACGCTTTTCCATCCTGGGTTCTAACCCTGACATGCTCTAGCTGAGTGACCTTGGTCAAGTCATTCTGCCTCTCTGAGCCTCAATTTCTTCATGGCAGGGGAAGGAGAGATAATGCCAGTACCTGTGGCAGAGGATGACACACAGAGGGGAGAGGGCCCAGAGCCTGGCGGTGGCTCTGCCGTGGGGACAGGAGGCGGTTTGTTTTCCTGCCCAGGGGCCGTTCCCAGGCTGGAATGACTAATGCAGGACAAAGAAAACAAACTTCTGACATCACCCCCATCCCCATCCGCCCAGTTTGCCTGCCCAGTTTGCCTGCCTGGACAGCGTCAGGAGGCCCACCCAGGTGGTTTGCTCCCTGCGTGGGGAGAGGAGCACCTGTCCAATGGGAGGGGCCTCCCACGCCCCTGACCAGCGCTACCTGGGGACTCCGCCCGGAGAAGCCCCAAGAGGCCGAAGCCGAAATCTGCCTGGTGAACAGGAACTCTGTGCTCCCACAGCTGCGGGACGTGGTCCTGCACGTGGTGGGCAGGTGGCCCGGCCTCGCATCCAGGCTCTGCCACTCACTGGCTGTGTGACATTAGGCAAGCAGGTCCCTGCCTGGGCCTTGGTTTTCTTGCTGGTGGAAAGGTGCAGAGGGCTTCAAAGGAGACGGCAGAGGGAGCGCGCTGAGGACGGGTCAAGTCCCCTGTGTTATGTGATTAGGCAGCGCTGCTCCCGGACTCTCTGCTCTCGAGAGGGGACTGTTCCTCCTAGTTGTCCCACCATCTCGTACCCTTGTTGGATTTATATATTAATACGTAATTGTGGGAACACCATGTCTTCTTTTCCCACAAAGCCCAGTTAAGCCGGAACTTGACGTGGGACGACAGGATGAGGCCCTGCGCCCCAGCAGTGAGCCCCCCGACACCTGCCAGGGAGCCCTTTTAGTCCAGGCTCACTCAGTGTGCGGTCCTTGCAGCGACACACCTGTGAGGTGGGACGACGGGCGTTAGATTCCTCATTTCTCAGATGAAGCTGTGAAGGCTGCAAAAGCCTCGGCGTTATCAAGGGTCACTAATAGGAATGAGGACCAGGCCCAGTGGCACCTCCCACCAGGGAGGGGTGCGGTTGGCATGGCATGAGGTCCCGAGTGCTGGCGCTGACCCCCACAGATGTGGTTCCCATCCTGCCCCTCGCCTCACCCTCTGAGGGACTGGGGAGCTACTTTGGCACTGTGATGATAACACTGTCTACCTCGTGATAATAATGTCAGCGTTTATTTATACGAGTCACTCTTCCAAGGGCTTCCTTAACATGTTATCCACATTTAACCTTCACTGCTATGGTAGGTGCCATTATTGTTCCCATTTTACAGATGGGAACACTGAGCCACAGAGAGGTTTTTGTGACTTGCCCATGGTCATAAGGTCCCAGGTGACAGTGTTGGGATTTGAACCCTGAGGTCTGGCTGAGTCCATGCACTTACCTCCCTGCCCTGCTGCCTCAACTGGGCTGCCGTAAGGTCTGAGTGTGACAAGGAGTGTGACGAGTAAGGGCACAGGGCAGCCCTTGCTGTTATTACTAACCCCCAACTAAGGCAGGTGCTCCCAAGGAACTCCTCTGTTCATTTGTCTCCATTTTGTGGCCCTCGCTTTTCTATGTTTCCTCTTTTCCTTGTTTCTGCAGGGGATCAAGCTTGAAGAGCAGAAGCCGGGACCCCCGAAGAACAAGGTGGGCTGGGTGGGTGAGGTGGCAGCCGAGGCGGCAGCCAGGGCGGCCCCGTGAGGGGGCCGCGTGAGAGAGAGGCAGGGGGAGTGGCCAGCATGCAGGGGTCCCCTGTCTTATACCATCTAACTCTGGTTTTCACCGAGAGCCCCTCCAGTGGCTGCACCTTTGTTGACTAGCGCAAGGTGGGCAGCTTCAGAGCAGCCCTGGGTGGAGGCCTAGGGGCAGACCCAGGGCCTGGCTCCTCCGGCCGCTTCCGTGAGCGAGCCACGCCCAGTGTGGAAGGCCCAGGCTCCGTGCCCCCGGCTCCAGCAGCATCAGTTCTCAGCTTCCGATTCCACCTCTCAGGTCCAGGGGTACAGAGTATCACTTGGAGGTCAGCCCCTTCCCTGGAGGGGGTGCTGGGTGGGCCCAGGGCCATCTCCCTGGGGGAGCCTCCTAGGGTGAGAAGCTAGGAGGGCCAGTAGGGTGTGAAGTTCAGCGCCTCTGTGTACTGCGCCTTCCTTCCTCTGTGTGCTGCATCTTCGCCGCTGCTTTGCACTCAGGTTCTGCCAGTTTGGGGAAGCTCAGGCCCGGAGCTGCCTCCAGGCTGCTCATCTATCTGGCATTGTTCCCACTGATCCTCCCAAAGACCTGGTACGGCCTGCCAGGCCCCCCAACAAACCTGCTCCCCACGCCTGGGGGAGCCGATGGAAACAGCGGTCAAACTGCATGGGCACTGCGGGGCTCATGGCGGCATATTTGTTTGTCTTGTAGGATGACTATATCCCGTACCCCAGCATTGACGAGGTAGGAGCCCCCCGGATCCTGTCTCTGGGGCAGGGCTGGGGGAGCTGATGGAGATGATGGTACTGGTCCCGGTCCGTCCTGTGGGGGAGAGAACCTGGGGACAGGGACCTGAAGGCCCGAGGCCTCTCCCCCTTTGTGACTTCAGCTTTTTCTCCGTGTGTAAATTGGGAGTGCTGAAGTTGGAGCTCTTGTGGGGCTTGGAGGAGGAGCTCATGCAATTGCCTTTGGCCTCATATATGGGAGTCCCCTCCACAGAGTGGTTCCAAGTGGGGGGAGCTTACCCCTGCGCCCTTCCACTGCGCCTGCAGACCCAGGGCAGGCTGCAGTGCCAGACTCTCCCCTTGCCTTCAGATTGTGGAGAAGGGAGGCCCGTACCCCCTGATCGTCCTGCCCCAGTTTGGGGGCTATTGGATCGAGGACCCGGAGAATGTGGGCACGCCGACCTCCCTGGGCAGCAGCATCTGTGAGGAGGAGGAAGAGGACAGCCTCAGCCCCAGCACCTTTGGCTACAAGCTCGAGTGCAAGAGTGAAGCCAGGGCCTACCGCAGGCACTTCCTAGGGAAGGTGAGGCTGAGGGGCCCTGGGTGAAAATAGCTGCTAGAGGGGGTCTGCGTGGGGGACCCAGCGCTCCTCTCCAGTGCCACCCACCCCTCTCTGCACCTTCCTGGTCCTGCCCCTTCCTTGCTGCCTGTCTCTGTCCTACCGGGAAGGCCTGCCTGGCTCTGCTCCTGGCTTTGCAGAAGTCCCGGAGGCTCCGTGTGATGGGTCCTTGTGGGGACCACCCCTGGCCAATGTTCTAGGAGGTGATGGAATGGGTAGTGTTTGGGGGGGTGAAGGAGGGTGGAAGGAAAAAATATGTTCTCACACCTCAGAAGTCTCTGTTTCCATCTAAATAGTACAAATCTCTTGTGTCCTCACTCAGGCAGGTCCCCTGGTACTTATACGTGGAGCCTCTGATTGCTTACCAGGGACAGTTACATTTCTTTAAATATATTCTGCCCTTCGGACTTGCCAGGTTCCAGAAGTCCTGAGGGCAGGTTCCGGAAGTCTCCAGCCTAAGTCAGCTTTGCTGAGTTCCCGGGGGAGGAGTTGGGTCAGGCCCCTCCACCCCGTCCAGGGACCCTTGCTGATACAGCAGGTCAGGAGTGGGCTCCCTGAGGCTGTGCAGAGATCTCCCTGCTCCAAGTGGGTGGAGGTGCCAGGTCTCCTCCCCATTTTATTTTTACGAGAGTCTGAATAGGCAAGGGCTGCTCCCTGTGAGCACGGAAGGGACTCAGTGTCTTGTGGTGAAGAACTTGAGCTCCAGTCAAGACGTGTGTGGGTTTGAATCCTGGATCCATCACCTACCAGTAGTGTGATCCTGGATAATTACTTAGCCTCCCTGAACATGTTTTCTCCATCTGTGAAATGGGGATGGTGGCGTTCTCTCCCCCATAAAGTTGTGGTCAGGGTTAGGCAAAGCTGGCAAAGGAGATAATGGGTAATAGGCCCTTAGCCCAGCGCCTGGCTCAGACGGCCTGTGGACTTGGCAGTGGGGATCCTTCTCTTCCCCTTCTCCTGCCTCTTCCTCCTCATCTGTGGCAGCCGCAGCCATAGCATCCTTCTCGTCCTACTTGCTGTGGAGCTTCTCAGTGCTGGTGAAGGAGGTGATTCGGGGGCCATGCCTGGCAGGTCCCCCTCCTCCCTGCTAATGCCTGATTTCTGTTTCTAGGACCATCTAAACTTTTACTGCACCGGGAGCAGTTTGGGGAACTTGCTCCTGTCCATCAAGTGCGAGGAGGCGGAGGGCATTGAGTACCTTCGGATCATTCTCAGGTGGGGCTGCTGCACTGTTGGAGGCCACACCCCTCGTGGTGGACACCCAGAAATACCAGTCTGACCAGTCCTGTTTGGGTGTGCTGGGGGGGACAGACCTGTGTTGGAGTTGGCAGGCAGGGGGACCAGGTGTTCATGCTAGCTGACTGATTGCGGGAGCCAGAGAGGTATCCAGGTCTCGAGGTCCCATAGAACGTACCCTCACCTGCCCGCCCGTCTCTGGCGGTAAGGAAGGTGGGAAGAAAAGATAGGGATGGCTCATTTTGCAGAGACACCATCCCAGATCATCCCGAGAGAGGGTTTGCCAGAACACCCCCTATGGCAGGCATCCAGTTGGGAAATATAAATCCCAAAGCATTTCCATAAAGGCTGGGCAGCCCAAGATGGAATCATGGTCACAACTGGTGCACCGATTTAGAGCTAAGCCGAGGACCTCTCTGGATGATGACGTCCTCGTGGGCAGGAACTGGAACTGGTTTCTGTTTGGTTCGACTCACTTGTCTTGTAGAACCTCTTTGTACCAGGAACTGTGGCAGGTGTTTGGGCTGCAATGATGGCTGAGCCGTGGCCCCTCGTCTCTAAGGCTTACTTACGATCTGTTGGGAGAGAAAACAGAGGACTTCAGTGTGTGTCATGGGGATTATTTTGGTGCTATGCACAGGATGCTATGGGAGCACGGAGCCCGGGTATTATTTCTGTCTGTCCCTGGTGGGCCGGCAGAGAAGCCGGGGCAGCCAAGTGTGAAGGCTTGCGCTGGTGCTCAGCAGGGTACTGTGAACCTGTCCCGCTCCCAGTCCCCATCTGTTGAATCGCATTGGAAGTCCTTGGAGGTATTTGGAAAAGAATATAACATTTTATTTTTCTGCCCAAATTTTGAGATAATTATGGGAGGGGACAGGGACACAGTCCTGCTATGGGAGAGGTAGGGATATGTGAAACGAGATTCTTGGGGAGTCCTGTACTCTTTAAAAGTGAGGGAGCGCCCCGCAATAGTCGAGGGCTTCCCACATGGAATCACCTTGGTTGTTTGAGCCAACAGCATTTGAAATCATTGCCATGGGGAGCCCAAGTGCAAGCTCAAACATGGCTCTCGCACATAGAAAGCCAGTGGATAGGGTGGCAGAGAGCAATCATATGGCTGGCAAGTTGGACAGACCCATCATGTACTTGGCGTGATGGCCCGGCCAAAGTGAAAACCAGACATGAAAAAAACTAGCCCCGGTTTACCAGACACAAAGGAGAAATTATGCAGAGATGGAACTCCCCTGCTAGCAGCGACTCCCAGCCCAGCCTCTTCCTCATTCCTCAAGTAGGCTTCCCGATGGTTTGATTGATGTCTTTCAACAACCAGCCCTTCAGCCTAAAACCTGAGGGCCTAGGATTTTAACAGTCTCTGGGTGTGCCATTGAGAGTAGCCCGGAAGAATCTACCCACAATTTGGAAACAAATAACAAGCCTGAATAGATTTCTTCCTTTTCCAATTTAAATATGGAGAAGAAGAAGAAGAACCTCACAGATCAGTGAAAGAAAAGATTCTGCATCTAAAAAATTCTAGCATTTAAAAGGTAGGGGAATAATTGAGTTTTGGAAAGGATTTACTACAGAAAGCCAAGTAAAATTTAGGTATCTATTGACTTTGTATTTTCAACCAACTTCTGGAGGGCGGGGGGGGGGGGAGGGGGGGGGGGGGGGGGAACTGGGAAAGAAAAGACAAAAGATAAAATAAGGCAACACAATGAGATGAAAAATTTGCTGGTTAAATTAAGGACACAGCCCTGACCTGTGTGGTTCAGTTGGCTGAGTTTCGTCCCGTGAAGCAAAAGGTTGCTGGTTCGATTCCCAGTCAGGGCACGTGCCTGAGTTGCAGGCCGATCCTGGTCAGGGTGCGGGTGAGAGGCAACTGAGCGATGTTTTCTCTCACATCAGTGTTTCTCTCTCTTCCTTTCTCCCTCCCTTCCTCTCTCTCTAAGAATAAATAAATAAAATCTTTAAAAAAATTAAGAAAATAAAATAAGAAAACTAAAAATGGCCCATAAGAATGTTAAACGGCATTAGAAGCAGTAAAGAGCAAAGTCTACTTTGTGGAAAACCCAGTTAGAAATATTGAGAACATGCTTAAGAAGCTCTCACATAATTCAAAGGAAAACATAACAGCCTTAAAATGATGAGAGCAAAATTATAATGAATATGAAGGAAAGTGAGCAAGAATTAAATGCGTATAATTGACGTTTTTAAGCCGTTGAATACTTAAATCCGCAGATGAAAGTGACTCACTTGTATCTGACAAAAATCAGTGAAAGGAAACTAGTAACTGGACATATTTTGATGAAAATTTAATATTCTGTGGATACAAAATCATTGGTAGAATGGACACACTCTAAATAATAAAGACAAAGAAAACATACACACCTAGAAAAAGATGGAATATAAAGGAATCATAAATAAATACATATAATAGAAGTCTGAATACATACACGATGTATAAAACAGCCCTGGCTGGTATGGCTCAGTGGGTTGAGTGTCGGCCTGCAACCCGAAAGGTCTCTGGTTCGGTTCCCAGTCAGGGCACATACCTGAATTGGGGCCAGGTCCCCAGCTGGAGGCGCGAGAGGCAACCAATCAGTGTATCTCTCGCACATTGCTGTTTCTCTCCCTCTCTTTTTCCCTCCCTTCTCCTCTCTCTAAAAATAAATAAATAAAATCTTTTAGAAAAACTAGTTAAATTATACCATTAAACAGTAAAGGTTCTCATTTCGGTCATTCCCTCCACTCCTCCCAACCCCCCCCCAATCCATCAACCAATTAATCAATCTGTCTATATTTTATTAAAGAAAGTAGCTTAGTATATGTAAAAAGGACTGTTGAGGAAAATTATAACAATCAAATACAAAAAGAAAGCAGAGTTGGCAATATAATATGAAAAAGTAGAATTCAAGGCAAGAAAGCAAGCAGTGTGAGAAAGGCTAATTTTGTGATTGACTAATCACAAAAGATAAAATTCACAATGAAGATACCTGATGAGCATTTTTTAGTGTTAAAAGTATATATTATAACAGTGTATAGATAATGGTACATATATATCATTGTATATATACATGTATACAGTATATATGTATACATAGTGTATAATGATTAAAATATAGAGAAATTTACAAAATGTAATTGTAGTGGTAGATTATAACACACTTCTACTTACAGATCAACTAGGATAGGAAATGAGAGGATAAGGATAATCTCAATATTACTTTATGAATTATATATATTGATCTTCATTTGTATCTCTATATTTAGCCTTCGAACTTTGATACTCTCATAGAGGTTTCTGCTTCTTTTCAAGTAGCCATGGAATAGTTACACAATAAATGTAAGGAGATCAGTGGTTTTATGAATGTGCTGCAACAGAATTACCTTGGAGCAAAGCAGAAAACAACAGACAAACCCAGGCTTCTAGGGTCCAACCATTTAAAAGACAATAAAAAGTTAACAATGCATATACATATATGTTTGAATATAAATGTAAGATAAGTAAAGACATAATAATATAATATATAATATACAATTAAATACATAAAATTATATATATTCCTATTTCATTCATTCTGCCTCTTTTAACAATATATTTAGAGTTCTTTCCATGTTGATATCTGAAGAGCTGCTTAATTCCTTTTACTGCTGCATAGAATTCCATTACATGGATGTGAAATAACTTATTTAATAGGTCCCCTGTTCATGGCCACTGTCAGTATTTTGGTATCACAAATGATGCTGCAGTGAATAACCTTGTACAGGTGTCAATTTGTGTGGAGTAAAATAATATCTCAGAAGTGATATTATTTGACCCATCTGGCTGGGTCAAAACACACATGCCTTCTATGTTAATAGATACTGTCAAATTGCCTTCTGTAAGAGCCCTATAAATTTGAGCTTTACCAGTAATGTATCCAGAGTACTAATTTTTCCAAAGCCTCTCCAACAGAATATTTTGTCCAACATTTGGGATTTTTGTCAATCTGATATGTCAAAATAGTATTTTAGTGTAGTTTTCATTGACAGTAATTTCATTGAATTATGTTGGGCATCTCTTCATATATTTAAGGAGCACATGTATTTATTTTCTGTGAACTGTCTGTTCATAAGCTTTGCTCCTTTTTTGGACTGTTAGTCCATATTTCTATTTTTAAAAATCTTGCAGCTAATTCTTGATAGCAGGTAGATTTAAGAACTAGTCTTTTGAGGTACAAAGTAAATCTATATAATTTTCAAAAAGCAGATACCTTGCCAAACATATTTGCTGTACTTAGACAAAAATTAACTGTCTTAAAGAGCTTCTTATTAAATAAGAAATAATAATATTTTGAGGCTGTTGGTGTTGTTAGTAACCTCTCTGTGTCTCAGTTTCTTTGTCTATGAGGTCATTGTGGTAGTATCCACCTTAAAATTATTGGATGCTTAGTATGTGCCAGAGCCTGACACACTGTAACTACTCAAGGAGGTTGCTGCTGTTATTATTAATGTTATTACCTAAAGAGAATAAGAGGAAGAAGTTAACAAAGATTAACACCAAAACAAATAAATTAGAAATAAAATGAAAACAAAACTAGATAAATCCATCTAGACTACAGATTTATATATAGCATAGAAAAAGATACTCATTTGGAAGAAAAGACAATAAAGTAGATAACTAGCTAGTCAAATAGAGATAAACATAAGATAAAAAACACAAAATTAGGCATTAGAAAAGACATATAGCCACAGATATGAAGAAGACTAAATAACTACTAATAGATGTTATATTCAATCCACATGATTATATTGGAAATTTTATTTGAAACAGATACCTTTGTAGAAAATTATACTAATTTAACATGATTAAAAACCTGAGCAGATCAATAACTGTAATAAATTGAAAAGTTTTCAAAGAATTCACTGTCCAAAAGTTTCTAAATCTAGATGGTTTGCAGGTATTTTAAACTCATATAAGGAACAGATTTCATGCTGTT